CGGCCGTACTTGTCTCTGCGATAACCAGCGAATCGAGTCGCGACGTGTGGTCGAGCAACGTCTCGTCCTCTTGGTCTTTTTGTTCGGCCACCAACAAAGCACGTCCAATAACTTGTAGAACATTGCAATCAATCTGAAGTTGTTTGTCGTACAAGTAGTCGAGCAGCGGCAAGGATTTGCGCACGATCAAGCGACTGGTCTCCTGCAAGCGCGTCGACGATGCCTGAAACCGAGAAAATAACGAAAGCGGTTCACGTGTCGAGCAATCCCTCCCTCAGTGGGTGTGAAATTAGAGCACATTGATCCAAACAGTCTCCTCACCTTTAACGCACGAACAAAGAAGTAATCACGCAGAAAGTCGACGTGATCCGCAAGCAGACGTCGAAGGCACTCCTTGGATTGTTGTTCCATGTTTTAAGCTCTCCTCCAACACCGATGATTGTAGCTCTACTGGTGCTGCTGACAATCGGTGTGCAGTATTACTGGCTAGCGTGGGACGACTCGAAGCCAGGCAACGCAATCAACGAGAAATGGCGACAAGCTTATCGCGCCAGCATCGATCCGGTTTTCGATAATAACTATCGAATGTTTTTGTTGAGTAGCAGCAATTAAAGAAAAATGTCAACCAGCGCGAACGATGGTGCGCTTCTCGATTGTCCGTTACACGCAAACACGTTCACGATCGTAAATCGTGGCTTCCAGAAATTGTCGACGAAACAGCGAACCAACCTTTGCCGTACGGTGGAACAATTAATTCCAGAGCGACATGCTATGCATTTTTTGCTCAAAGAGTTGCAAGAACCGTTGCCACCGCCTACACCAGAACCGTCAACGGGAAAACGCAAACGAAAAGTTTATAGGCTTTTAGGATCGGTTAGCGATAGATCGGTCTATCGGTTCTACGAACAATGCGTATCGCGTCAAATATGCAGCTGTTTCGTGAATCGAGAACAAGCAACGATAGAGCATCGCTTCGCTCCGGTCACAACGAATTTTACACGCAACGATTTGTTGACCGAGGAGACGGAAATGTTCAACGGTAACGTTTGGTACACTTTGCGAAACACTGCCAAGATCACTTTCACGCCACTGACACCAGAAGAAAAGCGCGAATACGACGACGACGACGACGACGTGAACGGACTGATCCTAGAGCACGATGTTCGCCTCTATTTGAAGCAGCACGCGGCGGCGACAACAACCCCCGAATACAACGACAACGACGACGAAAATGTGGACCCGTTGACGCGATTCTGTACGCATCCGATTCATACGGTTGCCATAAAGCTGTGCGACTTCGCCTTTGTGAACGGCACGGAATGCTGGTTATTTTGGAACACGGTGATGGATCGATGTCTCAGCGTGTACGCTCGACTCAATCTCTATCCGATCAACGAAAGCCTCTACGGTATTTGCATGATAGTGATGCAGTCGAGCAGTGGCGGCGACGAACAACGCAGGTACGTCGCGGTTCACGAACAAGGAATTACCAGCAAACTCGGAACGCTCGAGCGATTCACGTGGTCGTTCCGCAAATTGATGCGATCGAGTGTGCTTTCTTGTTGTTACTTATTTCCGCGCGGTCAAACTAGTCGCTTGCATTACACGCAAAAGCATCGATGCTATTTCCCAGCCGCGGCCCTTGGCGTGTACAACGAGCTGTTCCTCACCTCTAAACTGGGCCACCAACTGATTTGTAGCTTGCCGCTAGACGGCACTCGCAAGAACTGTTTGCGTTGGCTGAACAATTTTCAAGAAGCGTACGCGTTTATGAACGGCGGCAAGCAAAACGCCAGGCTACAAGAGTACTTGCGTGAAGCGTCGTCATAACAGTTACACTCATCGAAAAAAAATATTTAGAGGAGAACAAGCGCGAAACAACTAGAGAACAAGCGCGAAACAACTAGACACTTTCCAATTTTTTTTTAGATATGCAAGAGGAGCTAGTTGAAGAACAGTAAAGCTAGCGGAACCACAGCGATGACACGATGATCGATCAGTGAAAGTGGAGGAGCGAGTGCCGCGGCTGCAGCTGCGGTCTTGTTAGCGAACGGTTTTAGATTATCATCGTCGGCCAACGGAACATCTATTTTTTCGACCATTGACCGACTCGAATGAAAGCAACTGACCAACCTAAGAGTTTCCTCACCGAAACGCAACAGTTCGCTCATGCAAGCATTCGCCAGACCAGTCACGTTTATTTCGCGGTCTACCAGCGGATGCACGAACGAATGATAACGGAACAAATTATTGAAAAAGATGTCCAGACATTCGGCTATTTGCTCGGTGCTACGAGGCAGAAACGTCACGATTCGTTGCGATCGACAGACCGAATCGCTCAGCATCGCTTGACAATACTGTGGTACGTGATACAAGTGCAACGCATCTTGGTCGTGAACTTCCATCGTTAAAGCGGAAGCAGGTGTTTGCAGCACAATCGACAACGGATCGTTGTCGTAAACGTATTCAAAATCGCTGGCCGTTGCGTCTGCGGTCCAAACGTAGCCTTGCTCTATGCGAGCCAATGTGAACACATGTTCCATGTAAAACTGGAGCGGTTCGTTTGTATGATGTTTAAAGGACACGTTGATGGGTAACCGTAGTAAACTTTTTAACGGTCCTTTAGCCGCCAGCCTTGGCGAGAGGTCTTCTTCGTTGAGAACACCGCTGCCGCTTCCCTCGACTAGACTGCTAGACGGTTCTTCCTCGGTACCGTTGTCCAGCGACAAGTCGAAGCATTTCATCGGACCAAGCACATCGTGCAAAGGCGAGACGCTCTCCAACCGTTTGGTCGGATTTACTTGATACATGGACAAGAGAATGGACGATTGAGCCACAGCGACTAGCGATGTCGCGAGTAAAAACAAGCCCGTCATGATGGCAGACTTTCTATACTTAAGGTCTTACAGTATGGCGAGCGCAGCTACGATAATTCCAACGCCAGTAGGCGGCGAGCGAACAATGAACACGATCTTCGACTACCACCGCGTCATGCAAGATCTTACTCGTTCGAAAATATTTATATTGGATCAAGTGCCACGATTCCTAGCGAGTCCGTACACGTTGTTGCCACGCAATTACCTTAGCGAAGACAACACATGTGAGATTCGTTTTCATCACAGCACATCGTATCCGTGGGAAATGACTCTGATTAATCAGCAAGAAGTGGAGAAGTTTCCGGCGTTTACGCCCGTCGTGCCGGCCGACGTTGCATATACCGAGCAAGAGTACGATCAAACAGAAGTGTTTGTGCACAATTCCAGACTCAACGAGACCAACCGAATCGATCAACAGTCGTTCTTGGAGCAGAAACGTCGCAAGAGGAACGACAATGTGATCAACGTACCGGACATTCTGGACTATCAGAACTCGATTCCGATGAACAACACGACCATATACGAACCGTTGCGATTGCCACAGAATTTGCACGGAGGCGTGGTGACTATGCGAACAAAAGAGCCGCAAGAGCAGACCATTTGTGCTCGCACCAAAGAGCCGTCTGGTCGCTTGCGGTTCGTGATGGCGAACCAACAACAATTTGCCGAACCAGCAGACGCTGTTGAATTTTCGGGGAATCAATCGCAAACGGTGCTCGATCACTACATGCGCTTCCTGAATGCTCACTCAACGTTGCAACAACAACAACAACAACAACAACAACAACAGCAGCAGCCACAGCGACAGCAGCAGCCACAGCAGCAGCAACCGGAACAAACGATTCAGTTTCCGCAACAAACGATTCCGTTTCCGCAACAACCGCA